CAAACAGATTTGTCGAAATGGGGAGAACTAGGTAAAGGGTGCATGGTCATTAATTGCAACTGGGATAAATCCTTATAATCTTTAATCTGGAGGTAGCTGGCACATGATTCTGAATAATGTTATATAAGCTGATCTTTTATATTTTGACAAGTTAGTGGAGACCAGTGACACCTGCAAAGTGACTAAGAAACCTATTACCTATGGCTTTGGAACATGACAGAAAAAAGAGCAAGTATCAGGCTCCCTATATTGGGCTTGAAGTATGACAACCACAGAAGAGTCAAGGATGACTCCCACATTACAGATTGGGCACCTGGACAATAATGAAGCTACCTTTCATACTGAATAACTGAGGAGGGGGAAAAGGCTTCTAAAAAAATAAAGTCGGGGCACCTGAGGAGGTCAGTTGGTAGAGCATCAACTCTTGATTTCGCCTCAGGTCATGATCTCACGGTCATGGGATCAAACCCCGCATCAGGTTCTGCACTGAGCATGGGGCCTGGTTGGGGGATTCTCTCTCTGCCCCTCCCTGTGCTCACACTCTCTCCGATAGATAGATAGATAGATAGATAGATAGATAGATAGATAGATAGATAGATAGATAGATGATAGAATAAAGTCAACTCTGTTCTAGACATGGCTATTTTCCAAAGTTCTTACTCTACCCAAATACATTCAGCAGTTACGTCAGACAGCACTGGTCAACAAGGCCCGCCCCAAGGCTCATTAATGAATAATTCTGAACAGCTACTTCCTGAAACTTCGTTTCCCCACACATTCAAACCCAGGCTAATCCCCCATGATCCCATGGACTCTCGGTAGAGCTTCTGGCATGAAGAAGTGCTGTCAGTCCCCTCCCCTTCCCACCCAGTAATAAGCCCCCTTCTGTTTTGTTCCAGTCTCTATAGTAAGTAGATGCCTAACCTGGACAATGGGCATTGACCTTGTTCCTAATTTATAGTCAAGCTCTTTGTTAGGGCCACAGCCCTTCCTTAACACTGACTTCTTGGCTGGGCCAAACTCTCACAGACTCGTTTCCCATGACTTATGGCCCCTGCTGTCTCCTCTCCTACCTTGAGCCTCCCGATCCCCCACCATTCCCTGGCTGGGAATCTGCTTTTTGAATAAGGTCACTCGACTTCTCGCCTAGAGCGAAGTGGTGTTATTCAGTGAACGGCGAGCACACACTCCATTGCTGCTCACACTTGACCCCAGACCCCCATGGTCCTGTGACAGTCTACCAATCCTCATTTCTAAGGTGCCTCCATTGCCCACAAATGCTGCTGTCCCTCTGAGTTTGTTACAGGCCCCTGGAGAACAGGACTGAAGAACTCTGATGAAGATCGCCCTTACTGTCACAGCACCTGGCACGCGAGACAGCATCAACAGCAGCAACTTCACTCTCTGAGTGCTTACTAAGTACAAGGCACTGCTGAGAAAGCTTTCAGTGAGTTAAGTCACATCATCTGCAGAACAATCCTAAGAGGCAGGCACTATTAGGGGACTATATTTATTGTCCAGATGAGGGAACTGAGAGGTACAGTATGCACCCATCAAGTGTTCTTTGAATGAGTGAACTTGCAGTGGGCCCACAGAGTTGTCCAACAGTCATTTTGGGGTCCATTCCCCCAGCACATGTTTTAAATGCACCCTCACTCAAGTACCTGACCCACCTCTGCCCTTTGCTCCTTTACTGAAAGGATCCGAAAGAGAGAATGCAGATTGCGCACTGCTCCCCTACCCCCATGTCCATCCTCTCTGCTTAAAATATCTTTTTCTCCATTTTCCCCCTCCTGGAAGAAAACACCATCTTGAAAGTGTTCTTCTCCCTCTTAGTTGTATCCCCCATCTCGTACTCCTGGACCCCTGCTCGGACCCTCCTGAGTCCCACCTCCACTCTCTAAGTCTCGGCTTGCCAGCTTTCCCATTGCCAGAGCACAAGCAGAACCTCACTTCTCCCGTGGAGAGAATCCCTGTGCAACCCGGCCATACACCCTCAGGTCACTCTCTCTTCATCACCAAATTCCTTTAAAAGACAACCTCAATCTCCTGCCCTTCCTTTACCAAAACCCACACCCTTAACCACACAACCTGAATTTCACCTCCACATCCATAATGGAAACTGGGAAGAGTCCCAAAAGCCATCTCGAGTCTCTTCCCATATGTCGCTTCCTGGTCTCAAGCCCAGACCTGGGAGGTTCGTGACCAAGCCCTCCCCAGTCCGGTTCCTAGCCATCTCTCTTTGGTCCAGTTTCCTTCAGATTTCTGTGGGTTTTATGTGTTCTTATTTCTCCTTCAAAGTTTATTTTGAAATGCTCTCCTTTTCAAGTCATATTCTCCTCTAAATTCTTAGCTTCTATTTGTACTTCCAGTTAGTGCCTATAGTATGTGATTGCCAACTATACAAAAGCTCTGCAGGGCAGAGGTCAGGCCCTATGCTTGTTTCCCACAGTAAATAAAGTCCTGCAGGGCCAGGACTGGGACAAGGCAGACAGGGTACCTTGGTAGCAAAATTTTTAAGAGGCTCTCATCCTCAGGTTCCTGTCAACTGAAGAACCTGCACTTCCATGTGGCACCCTAGGTGCCTCACTAGCCCCACCCTGGTAACCACATGTGACCCTTTGGTGTCGATTGAAAATAAATGAATCTATAAATCAATGAATCAGTAAGATGATGACAGTGTAAGTACTTCGGGTGATGACTCCTTATCTTTGCTGTAAATGAAATTAGAGATAAGTGTCGAACACAATCACAATCAGTGAGACAGGAAGGCAAGACTGCCAGGGAGGTGCTAGGAATAAATAAAAACCCCAGGAAGACTCTCCCCTCTACTTCCACAAGATGCTGCTGTGTTGGAATATGGCACCTGGCATTATTTACTGCAGCCTCACTAGGATCAGCCTGAGGATGAACCCAAGGGCAAGTAGAAAGGCAGAGCCCAGAGGGAGGGAGCCCTGATTGATCACATTTGTGGGCTGCCCATTCTCTGGACTTCTCATGGGAGACAATGGATCAGTATAGTCAGCTTCTTCCCAGCCAGGGCTTTCAGTCACGTATTTCAGCCAAAATAATGCTGATATGGTGTCATTTCCCAGGAGAGAAGGGTGAAGCAGAAGAGGAAGCCAGGCAATTGCTGCCCCTTCTCTTTGTTCTTCCAAGAGAACGAAGGTTGGGGGTAAACCTGGCCTCTGAGCTCTTGCTCCCGAAACCCTCAGGGATCAGAACTGGCCACAGCCCCACCATGCCTCTGTCCTCCACATGAGACGCCCAACAGGCAGGCTGTCCTGCGGACACAGACAACTATGGTCTTCCAGCTGCTTTGCTTCAAACTAGCCAAAAGGAATAGGATACTGAGCCTCAGCCTGGTGTCCAAAGTATCCTCTCTGATGTAGTTTTAGCATCTATAAAGTTATTTCCTTGATTCTCACTTGGCCCCTTCTGCCTGGTTCCAAACCAGGTAAGAGATAGAAGTCATCAGATACCTCCAGAACTTCCCATATTCTTCTCAGAAGGTAATCACATTACATTTCACCAAATGAGGCAAGTTTAGAAAGCAAAATGAACCGCTATTTTTATGAGAAAAAGTCTGTGGCGTTTGAACTCTGGTTTCAGGAAGAGATGGACTAAGAAGGCCAGGACTTACCCTCACATGTGAAACAGTGAAAAACCAGCACAAAACACATAAAACAATAAGCGTTAGGACCATGAACATAAGGCTGCAAAGGACAGTGAGCTCTGAGAAACTGGACACAGGGTGCTCCCTACAGCTGCACCTGGGCACTGCCTCATGACTGTTTACAAGCTACATGGCAAGGAGGGAGAATATACGTGAAGCCCTTGAATAAGGAGGAGGAGCTGGGAGTCCAGAGATACCTCAGGAGGGTCCCCCTGAGTCTTCAGCTGAGTAATAAATGCCTGGGTATGAGGAAGAGATAAGCTAAGGTAAGAGTCTCTGGAATAATGAGAGGGCCTACCCATGGCTTGAAGAGAGAGGGAAATGATTTCTCTTGCTGTCAATCCTACCTCAATAAAGTGGTTTAAAAATACAATTTAAAAATGTATCTTTCCACAACTGAAACAAAAATTCTCATCATTTTCTCACTCGACACTGGGTAGTACACCCAGAGAGTGTTGCCTTGATGGTGGAGCAAATCTAGCCCTAGACCCCACTCTCTTCTGGTCCCACCTAACAAAGCTTCTCAGAGGCAAGACTAGAAAGGATGCAACTATTTCTGAGCACCTTAATGACGTCCAGAAACAAAGCACAAACATATTTATAAGAATAAAAATATCTAACACCCAAGAAGATAGAATTCACATCCAACCAAAAATTACCAGGCCTAGAAAAATGTCGAGAAAAAAAGGTTCATCTCTTTTTTCACCCCATTCTACCTCTTCCCTCTTGTGCCCAGACCTGGTGGGGAGTGCTCCAAACCAGACTGCTCCCTACCCTAGAGCCACAGCAACTCCCCTGTGATTAGCCGACACTCACAGAGTCTTGCTGTCAAGCCCCAGCACCAGACTGGCCTGTCCGCCCAGAGCTCTCTGAGCCTGTCCTTCCACCCCCAGCTCTCTATGAGTGGCCTCATAGCCTGAGCCTGGGGAACCCTGTGCTCTCTGGGTGGACAGATGCAGTTCATCCATACTGGGGGGGCACTTTGTCTGGTGGCCTCCATGACCCAGAAACCATCTCTCCAGGGCACTTGAGACTTCTAAAGAATGTACAGAACTGATATGACAAGATAACGTCTTTTTAATGAAACCAGCATTCCTCACCCCCCCCCCACCTTTTCTGATTTAAACAACTAGGCCTCAGGAAAGGTATGTGATAACCAAAAGGAGATTTTTTTTTTTTTTTAGAAGCCTCTTCCTGGCATTTATGCTTCCATGTCTATATCATTCCTTAAAAAACAGAAAGTTCAAAGCCAGGCCTGAAACTTCTGAGGGGCCAGGAGAGCCATCAGGGCCTGTGGACCACCCAGCGCCCACTCAAGGAAGCCCCCCCACCACATGGCCTGTGTCCAGCGACAGCTTCCCTCCAACAGCAGTACCAGTACTTTTGTCCATTGGTTGCTCCAGAAGAGAGGCTGCCTCTCTGTACCCCAGTACTTGGCATCCTTCCCCATCCAGCCCCATGAGGAAGAAGCATGAAATTAATGGTCCTACAAAGTATTGTTGCCTAGCAAACTGGAGAAATCTCTGAGGCCCACTTCTGGGGGGAATGTGGGATGTAAAGCCTGGTGAACGTTCCTGAGCCCTGCACAGTTCAGCCCCTCTCACTCCTCCCAGATCAGAACTTTTACCTCAACAATCTTGTTTTCATGCAGACACACACGCTCTTTTCGGCTCATTTCTCATTTGTCCCTTTTGGTTGCTTGGGCAAACTCTCTCTCCTGCTCTCAGAGGAATCCTGTGGATAACCAGTTGCACTGGGGATCCCAAAACAACCTTTACCTTTTAAGGCTATCCTTGAGGCTCATTTATAAAGCTGTCTTTAGAGGGGGAAAAAATGCTGAGTTCAAGTTTGGAGGAAAAAAATACAACTGGAAACCTCATATTTTGAAACTTGAAATAAGCAGAAAAATGTATTGCTCTTAGGTTGGTTGATCCTACAAATCTTGATCAATGTTTAATGCAACCTAAAAGCAAAATAAAAAGTAAACATGCTTTAATACAATTAGAACTGTGACGATATGAATGAAGCTTTTGCTAGTTTCAAATTATTTCAAGTAAGATCCACACTTGATATAATAACAAACTGTGTTCTCAAGCATTTATCAACCATCCTTTGTTCTCCTTCTCTTGCTCCTCTTTCTTATTGTTATCCTTATTCTTTTTGTAAAGGGTCCTCTTCCTGGATCCACTCCTTAAGGATGGAATTTCTAATGCATTCACCCGAGCCCCGTCCTGCACATTCTGCACTCTCTCCTAGGTACCTTGCTTCCTTTCCTAGCCCTACATAGCACCTATGCCTATGACTGCTGCCTTCCCATCTCCTGCCTGGACCTCTCTCCCCTGTTGTCTGGACCTGTACCCCACATATCAACTGGTCTTTGGTCAATTACATCTGCATATCTTGGGGTCCCCTGAAGCTCAACGTGTTCACAACTGAAGCCATCATTTTCATAAAACCTACCTCTTCTTATATTACTCAACTCAGCAAATGGTGAAGCTCTTAGTCCAGGTGCCCATGGCAGAAATCTGGGCATCACCGTGACTTCCTTCTGTGCCTTACCCTCCCAGCCAGTATTGAATCCACCTGGTTCTCCCCTTCACTGTGGTCTATACCCTGGTCTCAGCCCTGGTCATCCTGCATCTGGATAACTGTGAAACCTCTGAAGTGGTCTCCCTTTTCCACAACTGCCCACTCAAATCCTCTCTCCCTCCTCTAAAGCCACATCTCAAAGACGCTACATAGACCCTTTCAATGAGTCCCACTGCACTTCTCATACAGAGCACATGATGCCACCTCTCCAGCTTTGAGTCATGCCACCTCTGAGCTCCGTGCAACCCAGCCTTTCAGCTGGACCACAACAGCTCCTTGAGGGCACCTCACTCTCTCCACCTACTGTGCTTAGCTCAGGCTAACTCCTCAAGCATCATTTCCTCAGGAAGACTCATCCAGACCAGGTCTCTCCACACCTGCTCCTGGCCCACAGCCCCCAGAGCCCCAGAGAGCAGGGTTCAGGAACCCCATCTGTTATGTTCATTGGTATTCACTGGCTCCCCACATGGTACCAACACAGCAGACATTTAATAAAAACGTCTCTACTGACTGATTAGCACCAAGCCCTTCTAGCTCCCCCTTCCAAATAGACCACCAACACCATTTCAGTCTGGATTACGGCACTGGCCACCTAACAGGTGTCCTCAGGTGTCTCTCTCCATCCTGTGCTCCCTGCTGCTTACAGATGCCTTTCTAAAATGCTGATTGCTGACTGCATCAGCTCCACTGCCTTTAGAATAAAATCGAAATTACCAGGCCTTTCATGGCCTGGTTCCTGCTCTCTCCCCTGCCTGGTCTCTCCTCCCTCCCTGCCCCACACACCCCACTCTCCCCTGGTGGGGGGGGTCTCATACTGGCTGTGCTCTCAGACCTCCCACCCCCCAGTAACCAGTCACCAACTTCCTTCAGGAAGCCTTCTCTGTTAGGGCTCCTCCACTGGGCTGTCTGCCCCACTTTGTCAGCGCACATGGTTAGGTCACTAAATATACCCTCTGATGAGACAGTTCTGGTCTATACCCACAGTTCTGGCTTAGTTATTAACAGCTCCCCTGTTCACTCCCAAAGCCTACTTACTGCTCTGGCCAATAAATCACCTGGTCACTCTAGCAGTGACTATTAATTGCTTGTCCAATTGTCTGTCCCCCCGCCCCCAGGCAAGGTAAATAACAATGTGTTTTATGCTCAACAGCACCAGCACAGTGCATGATACATAGAGAACAGGTATGTTGATTAAACAAGCAAGTGTACTTTATACTATAAAAGCAGGTACTTTCATTAGGATGTTTAGCTAGAACGGATTTGCTACAGAGAATCAATAAGCTGGCCCCCAAAATTTAACTTAAAGATTACGTATTTCACCAAATGATCTTAAGTATATATTTTGAAGAGATTTTAAGATTTTCAAAGCCTAACTCTAATGTACAGAAATCACCCTCCACACAGGGGCACAGCATGACCTCAACATTAGCTTCTAGCTACTTTCCCATCATGCTGACACATTTGCAAGGAGCCAGTCATGTGCCCACCCTGACCCCTGTGGCCAGTAGCACATGATCACAATAGGGCATCTCAGGAATATATGGTCAGCACCCAGGGAACTGATTTTCTTTCTATGATACAAAAGGCCCGTTTGCCAACCATCCCAGGCCTCATTTGCACTAGGCTTTCCCATAGTAAAAAAAAAAAAAAAAAAAAAAAAAAAGGGCTGTTTTTTACAAAACACTTTCTTAAAAGATACTCACATCAGAGAGCATTGGCTCGTCAAGTTCTTCCACTCTGCTCAGGTTAGGGGCCCCATATCGATCACTGATTTCAGCTAGTGTTTTGCCTGAGTCTGATGTTACATCCTACAATTGTTAAAATTCATGTTTAATTTTAAATGAGTTAAAAATGAATGCATGAATTTTCTTTTGATTTGGATAAGAAGTTTTGGAATCACAACATTGAAATTCAACATTAATGGACTGAACCAATACCCGTTCCCAGAGAAAGAGTTCTAGAAATAAATGCTGGAAACTTAGTTTAAAAAGTACATTCAGAAATTTAAAATCTATCACTGTAAGTAAACATATGGTCAATAAATATCTCACAACATTCTGGTTTTTTTAAAAAATACAAACACCAAATGAATGTCTAATTTTTATCCACTTTGAGATTTTTGCTTTAAAGCACATTGTACTTGTGAACTGCTGTGACCAGAACACGTAGGTGGACTGTCAGTTTTGATAATTTCATTATTGAGAAGTTTAGCTCCAAATGCACATACTCATGCATTTCACATAACACAGGATAACTTTTCCTTCTCACCTCTGCATGTGAACTATCTTCACTCTTAGCTATATTTTCCATATTCATTCTCATCTCCTATAAATAGATAAACATGAAGAAAAATATTTGAACAAACTTTCCATTTTGATTCCACGTTTCATTTTCAATAGATTTTATTTTTATGCAACGCTATGATCAATTTAACAGCAAATAGGTCATCACTCTTACAGGGTTGATCTGAATACATTTAGCACAAGACTGTAGCCTGTAGTCTCATACGACACTCGCTACTAATAGAAACCCATGTTTTATTTATAATTAAACACAACTCTAAAGAATGAAGTGATCCGAAATGTTAAACCTGAAGCCAAATTGTTAGCCAGTGTGACAAGTGACAAAACAGAATCCTTTCTTCTCTCATTTTACATCACTGAATCTTCACTGAAGGGAAAGAGGGTCTGTATCTCCGTGTATTTATGGGCATGTGAACATATGTGTATGTCTCCATGCCCTATGGCACTTAGACTAAGATAAGCTCGGCATCTGTGGTTTTGTTAACTATGTGTTTTTTAAACCATGTATAGGGCTTTGAATTTATCTTTTTAAGGTTCTCATTTTTTAATTCCTTTCACTCTTCCAACTTTTCAGAAAGTACTTTAAATAATGATGCTCTCATCTAAGCCATGAATACACATATTCTATAAGACCTACTTCTGTTTTTGATTTTAGTTATAGATAAATAGAGGAGTCACATTTGAATAAGTGAGACTGGCTGGGGGCGCCTGGGTGGCTCAGTCAGTTAAGCATCAGGTCATGATCCCAGGGCCCTGGGATCGAGCCCTGTGTGAGGCGTCCTGCTCAGTGGGAAGCCTGCTTCTCCCTCTCCCTCTGCCTGTTTCCCCACTCGTGCTGTCTCTCTCAAATAAAAAATACTAACGATAATTAAATTGAAAAAATATTTAAAAAAAAAGAAAGAGGCTGGCTGATTATAAATATACAATATGAAATATCCAGTATAAGAGTATAACTCAGAAAAAAAAAAGAGTATAACTCAGTCATTTAGAAGTTTGGTCTATATGACATACACATACGTTTTGGATACCAGGAAACACTGGTCAAACTAGAGAACTGCTAATATATAGACACAGTTAATTGAGACAGACTGCTTTTTAACATGTTACTGCGTAATTTTTTTTAATGAAAGATAGGAAGCATTCATGTAACTTATTGTTGATAATACATCTAACACGAGGAAGAGATGTGCTACTATCTCAGAGATCAGAATACCCTCAATGTTACAGGGAGTTTGACTTTGAACATCAGCTGTCACAGTTAGGAACAACTGTGCCTTGACTAGAATGTGGCTAATATCCCCATGAGAGAACTCTGCTGCTCACAAAGCAGTTTCATGTCCATATATACGATCTGGGCTGATCCTAACAACAAGCCAGTGAGGTATGGCCAGTAACGTTATCTCACAAAAAGGCAAACTGAGATTGAAAAGGTTGTAAGATTTGTCTCAGTCACATAGCTAATGTGTGGCACGTCTCTGAATCCCACGTTATAACAGCGGCAAGAAACAGACTGAGGATTCTACAAGGTTTTAAATAAAGTAGACATTTTTTTTCCTATAAAACTTCAAATTACCTTCTCTAATTGTTCTTGAGCTCTCTGTAGTTCTTCTATCCTTTGTCTCTCTTTTTCTTGCATTTCCAGCTCCAGCTGGAATGCCAGCTGTTGCTGAATATTCAGAAATAAATAAGTCATATTAGAGTCACATCAATTGCAAGGAATTAACTCTAATCACTCTGAAATGTCCCAGGATAACTAAGTTTATACCTACCTAAATTTCAGAAGCTTACAAGAATAAATGATCACAGCCACCTAATACTTTTGCTTTTATAAGTATTTCCTGAAGTCTAACACAAAAAGGGAAGCTTCCTTAATTTCTATTTTGTAGAAAAGCAAAATTCATACAAAATCAAGTTATTTCTCTGTTCTTCTTGAAGCAACAAGTGAGACTGCAGTACTTTTTTCAGATAAAAAATCTTTCCAAGCATAGATGGGTGTTCAAGTAGCCAAACCTTCGTTGCAGAAGAGTGGATGAGAAAATCTTTAGTATATTATCCAAAACCATAGATAATCAAAAATATATTGGTCCCAATCAACATACATGCCACACTAGAATAACAGTCAGCAAACTAAATTCCGTGGGCCAGATCTGACTTGATTCTGTATTTGTAGTACAGCCCATGAGCTAAGAAAAGTTTTACATTTTTAAATGGTTGAAAAATATTGAAAGGGTAATATGTCATGATACATGGAAATTATATACAGTTCAAATTTCAGTGCCTATAAATAAAGTTTTATTGAAACACCATCATGTTCACTTGTTTACTTATTGTCTGTGATTATTTTTGCCCAATAGCACAGTTGAGTGGTTGCAACAGTGACCATAGATGGCGCTCTCATCACTTTGGATTGCTCCCCAGCATGCTACAAATCACAGTGGCATCCTTTATCTCAATAGTTCTTGGAAGGAACCACGATATCCCTATGCCATGACATTTTTTAAATCGGTGTATACCCAACATGTCATAACAAGAAAAGGAGTAGACTTTAAATGTTGTCCCTTTAAGATACAGTGGAGAATAGATTATTTTATTATCAAATTAAATGGCAAAAAAGTATGGTGTTTATTTAAGCAAGGATACTTCACAAAAAGAATTCAATAAACTTTAGTATTACCAGACTAAATACTTATCATCACAATATTCTCAACTCCCATGAAAATAAAGGTCAGAAATGTTAGAGAGCTTAGAATTATTTCACCATAGTAGAATTTCTTCATAAAAATTAAAAATAAAAATGAGGCTGCAACGAAAGCAAGTTTGCAAGTGGCTCATTTGTTAGCCAAGCAAACAAGTTCATTTCCCAATGGTGATTTAATTAAAACATGTTTGATTTCAGTGTCCAGAAAAAAATGAATTAAGATTACTAGCCTTTTGGTGAAAACAGTTGCTCAAAGAGTTGATGACACTGGGAGCAACATCAACAGTCAATTAAAAACAAGGCAAATTATTTGGAGTGATTTTCCTTGGCTCTTGATGGGTAGACAAATGTTCCCAACACTGATCAGTTGTTGTTTACTGGTATTAATCCTGAGTGTTAAGTGATTGAAAGATCAGCCTGTACAGGCAAGAAATAATTTCTTTTTCTTTTTCTTTATCTTTCTTTTTAGAGAGGGAATTTGTGTGCACATGATAGGGGAAAGCCAGAAGGAGAGGGAAAGAGAGAATCTTAAGCTGGCTCCATGCTCAGGGTGGAGTCCGACCTGGGGCTCAATCCCACGACCCTGAGATCATGACCTGAGCCAAAATCAAGAGTCGGACACTCAACCCACTAAGCCACCAAGGTGCCCCAAGAAATATTTCCAAAGAAATTGAGAAACGTTATTCAGTACAATCAGCAGTGAAATCTGTTAAGATATGTCACAATCAATTGTGATAATAATGTGTGTGGAACAGAAAGAAGCTTAGTTGGACAAATTTACAAAGCTTGTGAAAATGCAGTGTTGAAAGCCTATGAGTATTCATTATATTATTCAACAGCAGGTCCTCTGCAGACAATGTTTGAATCTGTCATGTGCCATTGAGCCAGCAGTGCCGACAATGTTCCTTCATTCACTCTAATGAATGCAACCATCATCAGTTCTGTGAATTTTTGTCAGAAATTGAAACTGAATAAATGTTGGCTTGCCCTAGCACACAGCAGTTGCATGGCTTCACAGTGGTAATGTGTTATTGTGCATTTTTGGGCTTAGGACCAAGGCTGAAATTTTTCAGAATGAGAAGAATCATTCTCAATCACTATTATCAAACTTTAAATGGCTTTGGAAATAAGCCTTTGCTGCAGACTTAATAATGTTTTTAAATCAATTCGAACTAAGCTTACAGGGCAAAACAGCCCTTAATATGTAAAACTTAACACTGTAGGAAGCCATTTCAACAACTAACATTTGAATCACCATGTCAAACTGCTTTATACACTCCCCATGTGATCAAAACCTAAAACAAGAAACTAGATCTCCCGCACAAATCTGCAGCAGATGTGTTTCCTGAGCTCACACTACAGACATAGAGTATTTGGTGGCCTGGATTTCAGTGCAAATGAAATTCCCGTATCGCCAAATCTGTTTAACTGTGTAATTGAGAAGCTTTTACCAACCCTCAATTGGAAGTGATTAATCTGGAAGGTAATGACATGCCAAAAGCAAAACAAGATAAAAATCGAATAGAATTCTACAAATGCATTCCAAGAGATAAATATGGTCAAAATTATATGCACCCGGACCGATATCAGCATTTGGCAGGACCAATTTCTCAGCTATTTTCAAAGATGAAATACTGAAATCTCATTACAGATCACCATTAAAAGATAAATGTCTTTAAGCAATTTTGCTGATAGGGAACATTAACTTTGAACTCCAACTAAATGAAATGTTATCTCTAAAAATATAATTTAATTCTCTCAAGCAGTAAGCCTGTATTCCAAAAGGAAAATTGTATTCAATTATTTTTTTAAATGTTATTTCATTGATAGAACATTTGTGGAAATGTGTTCTCTCTTGCTATGTCTACATAATATATCATAACACATACCAATCCCATTAAGAGCATCTTAAAACTACAGTTTGCAAATGAATTTTTTAAAGATAATATTTTTATAAATAGATAATAAACAGTGGTTACTCTTTATTTACAGAGGGTTGGTAAAGGGAATTTCTTGGTAACCCTGTATTATCCACACTGGGAAGAAAGTGATGAGATAGGTTGCGGAAGTGCAAGAACATCGCTTGCAATCCACTTTCAGATACTGGCAGAGGAAGTAAAATATCTAATCTCTCAACAACAATGCAAACTACAGTTGTTAAATACCAACCACCTTGGACAACAGAACCAGTTTCTTAACGTTTTCAAGAAAACTTCAAAACTCAATTCCTTTCTTCACATAGGAGTAAAACCATTAGAAAGATACTCAAACAAATTGATCAATTGATCAAACAAACAAATAAAAAGCTTTTACCTCCTAAGTGAGCTCTTAGGTTGAAAATGGCAGTCAACACACTTTCCTGTTCACAGGGCCCAGGGCTTACTGGAGAGTGCCAAAAATTTCAAGGAATTTCAACCCAGTGGCACTGACTATGAGAACAACGTGGAGGTGACCAGAGTCTTGACACTCAGGCTTACTTGACTCAGTGGTGAGTTCAGAGCGTCTCTTTGTTTCTGTGCATCTCGCCCTCACTCTCTCTTAAGCTCTTCTCCTGTAGATATTCTCTGCACAGGCCCCCTTTCCTTCTCCCGTCTATTTCTGGCCACCAAGCTGTTTCTTTAACGGTCATAAAATCTTCTGCAGAACGTTCTTGTTATCTTCCAATCCCAACACAATGCTCAGGGTTCAGTGTACAGTGGATCCCTTCACACCCATCAACAGGATACAGCTAGAGAAGTGCTTGATTTCTAGGATTGCCAAATTTTCGCTAAGTAAGATAAGTAGAAGAGCCAAAGAAAGTTAAGTACCCCCACATTTGTGATGGAATTGTCTTGAGGAAGATGTTCTCCTCAGTCTGAGAGACAGGGGACAGATACTAGTTGTAGAAGCTGAAAGAGGAAGAGCAGATTCTCACTCAAAGTTGGGGCAATTCTGCAGCAGAATGTTTGCCCATTTGGATGATTGTTTGATATCTGGCTCCACGCTCTGCAACTTCCACATAAGAATAAACCAAATGATTGAAAAATGAAGATTCAGGAGCAGTGAAGTTTTCAATAGCCTTATCTGTCTCAGGTGCCTAGAATGTTCTATCCCAGTAGCAGGGGTGGCAGGTTAGGCAGAGAAGCTATTCGCCACGTCCATAGTTTCCTTTCTATCCACACACCCAAACAACAGGCTTCTAGACTGGAGTCGAGACCCTGGAGTTAAGGACCATGTGGCAGAACAATAGGGATAACTTAGATCTAGTTCAGAAGCTGTTCATAAATTAAATTAGTCCAAAAGCCACTCTGGAACTTTCCCTCTCTAGTTTACAATCCATGACTCATCCCTGAAACCATACTCTTCCCAGTACCTTCAGCTCCCCAACGTGCTACCCTAAACCCACGTCAGTCACAGGGGCTGCCCCTTGCACATCATCACTCAGGCCTTCAGGCCTAAGTGAAGAAAAATTACAGGATCATAAAACCAAACTAGCTGGCAACATTATAAATGCCTGGTCTCGGGGCGCCTGGGGGGCTCAGCAGTTGAGCGTCTGCCTTTGACTCAGGGTGTGATCCCGGGGTCCTGGGATCAAGTTCCGCATCAGGCTCCCCTGCAGGGAGCCTGCTTCTCCCTCTGCCTGTGTCTCTGCCTCTCTCTGCATGTCTCATGAGTAAATAAATAAGTAATCTTTAAGAAAATATATGCCTGGTTTCTAACTCTGGCAGGGTACTCAATGCTACCAGGTAATGCTAAGTTTCCCAGTCAATGCTACCATTCTACAAAGCTACTATTACAAAACCATCACCACTCTCCCCGCACCTGCCATTTTATCGTCTCATTCTTGGAAGATGATCACCGTCCCTACTTCATAAAGAAGAAAGAGTCATGAAGAAACTGTTTTAAACTTTGTGCCATAAAACCTATACACCCACATGTACCTAGACCATCCTCTCCCTCTTAACATCAACCCCCTCCTGCCCCTCTGCTCTTAAAAAACCCCAACCTCCTTCTCTGAAAAAACCCCTTGAAAGCATCACCTAAACTCACCATCTTCCCTGTTACACCCCACCCCACACACACCAAGGTCTTGAATGAGCACTTTGCAGTCTTGCTCTCACTCAACCAACAGTAGGCGTGGTTGACCCCTTGGGTCTCTCCCCTTGACCTTCATGAGAGCACACTCCCTGGGTTTTCCTCCCACTCCACTGCTGCTGCTTCTCCAGCAAAGAAGACACAGATACAGAAACACAGGAACACGAAGATAGAAGAGAGCCACTGCTAACTAATTAGAGATGGGGAGGTTTTCAGTATTTGGGTTGCACCACACTGAGGCTGACACAGCTCACTCCAGTGTCCCCCAAACTCCCATGCGTGTCTCACCTGCTGAAACAGGAGTTCTTCGGCTTTGAGCCTCTCCATCATCTCCTGCTCAATCTCAGCTAGTTCTCTTTCCCGCTCCAAGTTGGCCATTTCCTTCTGTCTCTAGCAGGGTTTTAAAAGCAATTACCACATGACTAATTTGAGCCAGAATAATTTGTAAAAACAATCTTGAAAAGAGTGTTAATCACCAATGACAGGGAAAAGGGGAAGCAAATTTTATTCAACCATTTAGAAAAGGTGCAATAATTTGGGGAGATATGTATTTTATTTGAACAAAGAGCATAAAATTGTAATTATACATTGGGTATGATCATAATTATGTAAAAAAATCTACAAGTGCATAGGAAATGTACAGAAAAAATACTAGAAGAAAATACCTAAAAATCTAAAAAGAAATCTTCTCTGGGGTATTTTTTATTCTTTCTGTTTTTTTCATATTGTCCAAGTTTCTTCTATAATAAATATACTATTTTTATAATAGAAATAACATTGAACTTTTTATTAAAAAAGCAGACAAACTGGACCAGTTATCTTATTCTTCTAATTTTCTAAAAGAAGATCCCTACTTACCAGTTGCTCCATGGTCACGTTTTCCTTGTATTTATAAATCCATAATGCTAAATATTCTATTGGATCCACTGGGCGAATTCTTGCCACTTCTGCAAGACCTTGAGTTAGACACGTCCCAAGGTGCTTTTGCAGATATGTCGACTCCATTTCTCCCCCCTGATTTCAAAAAGGTAAATGTTTTTGCATTAATGCAGGAAATGTTCAGTAAGTCACACTAAAAGCAGAGTCCAGTGAGGCCAACGGAGCACTGCATCCTGTCATGGGCACCTCCCATCAAGGATGACACTAGCAAGCTGGCTTGGTGAAACACCTAACAATTTCCAAAAGGACTCCACGGATGTCACAATTACCACTACTAAGAAGCACTTTTAAAATCCTGTAGGATCTCAAGGTTGAGATTCAGAAATGAAAACAAACAAAACCCCCAACCAGCAAAGGGAAGAAAGTAACAAAGGTTAGAGCAGAAATAAATGATAAAGGAACTAAACAAAAAAAGATGAAAAAAAAAAGTCAGAAAAATGACTTCATGACTATGAGACGGCCATGTGCCAAGCAGGGCATGTCTCACTCAATCCTCACAACAGGGGCCAAAAATCAGTGTCATCAGCCCACTGTATGGGTGAGGAAGCCCAGGCGTAAGGGGCGTAGGTCAACGTGGTGAACATTGGATTCGTACCCAACTCTTGATTCCAGAGTCATTATCTTTGTGACCCAGATGTTCCTCCCAAGCCATGAGGGTAGTTTTAGAAAATCATAATACTCATAATATAATACTCCACCTCAAAAATAAAAACAAACAAAAAAACCCCCCAAAGTCCATGAATCTCCAAGGACAAAAAAGTAAACAAAAAATTCAACCTTCGAGGAATAGCATATGAAGCTCCTCATGCTTTGGCCCCAATTTCTTTTTTTTTTTTTTTTTAAGATTTTATTTATTTATTTATGAGAGAGAGAGAGAGAGAGAGAGACAGAGACAAGGCAGAGGGAGAGGCAGGCTCATGCCAGGAGCCCGACGTGGGACTCGATCCCGGGACTCCAGGATCACACCCTAGGCCAAAGGCAGGTGCTAAACCGCTGAGCCACCCAGGGATCCCCTGGCCCCAATTTCTACTCAGGCTCACCCCAGACCTCTCCCCTGCTGCCAGCATATCCTGGGCTCTGACAACCCTCAGTGGTCTGCCATCCTGACAGCCACACCTTGCACACCGCCATCTCCAAGACTTCTGCGCGTAACGCTTCCTCTCTATCTCCCAGCTGAGGAAACATCTCCTCGCCTGCAAGATGCTGGTCCTCTCTCATTCCCTGGACTTTCCCAAGCAACGCAAAGAAGCCCCACCTTCTCCAAGCGACTCACACAGCACTTGTCATACACGCCGAGATCGTGTGTGTACACACGCATCTGTCCTCCTGCTAGAAGACAAGCTCCTCCAGCTCCTCAAGGAGTGTGTTTTAATCACAGGGCAGGCGTGCTGGCTCTCCGTGGAGGCACGTGAATTACTTCCTCCATTCTCCCAGTAATGTCTCAGTCTATGCAGTTATGAAGGTGGACAGGAACAATCTTAGACCAGATTGGAGGGAAGGAAGGAAGGAAGGAAGGAAGGAAGGAAGGAAGGAAGGAAGGAAGGAGAGGAGGGAAGGAGGGAGGGAGGGAGGGAGGGAGGGAAGGAAGGAAGGAAGGAAGGAAGGAAGGAAGGAGAGGAGGGAAGGAAGGAAGGAAGGAAGGAAGGAAGGAAGGAAGGAAGGAAGGAGAGGAGGGAAGGAAGGAAGGAAGGAAGGAAGGAAGGAAGGAAGGAAGGAAGGAAAGAGGGAAGGAGGAAAGGAGGGAAGGAAGGAAGGAAGGAAGGAAGGAGGAAAGGAGGAAGGAGGGAGGGAAGGAGGGGAAAGAAGGAAGGAAGGAAAGAGGGAGGGAGAAGGAGGGAGGGAAGGAAGGAAAGAAGGAAGGAAGCAGGGAGGAAAGAATATAGCAAGCACTTCCGGTGCTTCGAAAAAAAAAAAACGATCACTCTCAAATTACCCTTATGGAAACCAGTCACTTCTAAGAATCTAATGAAATGTCTCCATCATTCAATAAATATATACTATACGCATCATTGGTCAGGTATGAGCTGAACATGAGAGAACAGAATGCCAGCATGTCTAGGCCTGTCCCTGGACAAATACACCAAACGTTCTACATAAAATTTCAGAAACAACAACCTCCTGAGGTTCATCCTTCAATCCCCAAAGTGCTTTCTCTCATTTGACGGTGGTGAGGGTACGAAATGGTATAACCCCTGCGCAGAGGAATTTGGCAGCATCTAGAAAATTACGTAAGTATTTACCCTTTAAACCATTGATCTCACTTGTCGGATCTTAACTTGCAAAAATATGGAGCGATGATACGTGCATGTGGTTATTTTGCTCCATTACTTAGAACAAACTGGAGCCTCATCCAAAAGCTCATCATTAAGGGACTGATGAGACACAGCAACACGATGGATGACGGTGCATATATATTATATAAAAGGCACGAGGAAGATCTTTAAAATAGGGAGTGATCTCTAGGACACGGTGCGAAGTGAATTAAAAAGGTGCAGAAATTATTTATAGAGAAAGCCACCTCTTTTGTTGAAAGCAGTGGGGAAAGGAATGTGTGTATGTGTGCCCATAAACGTGGTCATAAAAACTTAAGCTCTGCAAGCTGGCACGAATGAACCGAATTCCCTTTCAAGCTGGCGTTGGTGTCTTCACCACACGGACAGAAGAATTACAGTATCAGCGAGTGTGAGACGCAGCATCCTCACTGTGCTTCTTCGACGCGACACACTCAAAAAGACAAAAATGACGACACTTGACGTCTCAATGTCACTTGAAACATAAAAGAAAGAACAGATTCGTGCTGCTGTTCCAAAAGGATAACACGCGGGAAAGGGACCATGTCCCCAAGGGAGAAACTTCTGGGCTAAGAGTAGAATCTGATCCCGAATCCTCCTGGGCACAGGACAGCAGAGCCCAGGAAGCTCCTTACTTGGCTTCCCTGGTTTCCTGTCCACCAAATGGTGATAAAACCCAACTCACAGGTTGTTATTTTTCAGACACACTAACAGGCATCTCATGTCGGCTCCAGGTAAGAAAGGCCTTTCGCAGAGACAGGCTCCCTCAAGCCTGGAGAGGCCGAACAAGAGATACAAAGAGGTCCCTTGCCCAAGCCCGGGAGGGGGCCGCCCAGCCTGGCTGGAGGGGAGGGGGTTCGGGTGGAGTTGTCCGATGCGGCACAAAATAATACGGATGGAACCCCTGGGTGGCTCAGTGGTGGAGCACCCGCCTTCGGCTCAGGGCGTGACCCCGGGGTCCCGGGATCGAGTCCCGCATCAGACGTCCCTCGGGGAGCCTACTTCTCCCTCGGCCTGTGTCAATCTCATGAATAAATAAATAAAATCTAATATATATATATTATATCCTATATATATATATATATATATAGGATGCCCGGGTCAATATGAATTTTGGAGAAACAGGGAGTAACGCTTAGCACAGGGCAGCATAAGCCAGCTCGTTCGTCGTCTACCTGGAGCTCCCCTGTGCCGGGCGTTACCTGGCACCCTCCGACCTGGGGAGCCTGCATGGTTTCCCCATCCTGGGTCTGCAGAGGGGTCTCGGGCCTTCCGCGTCCCCTCCCCCTCCGCCCTGCGCGGCCCGGGAGGACGGGGCGGGGCGGGCCCGGAGGCGGCGGCGCTGCCAGGGCGCGGCACTAACCTCTCAGCCGGGGCAGTCCGGGCGCCGCCGGGGCCCCTGGCCGCTCACCAGGCCGAGCCCGCACACGCGGCTGCCGCGGGCCCCCCCAAGCACCGGCCGCGGGGCGGGGCGCTGGGCGTCCGCGCTGGGCATGCGCACACCCGACGCGCGCACCTACCGGCCCCGCGAGGCGCGTCCCGTCGCTAGGCAACGAGCGCGCGCCCCGGACCCAGGCGGCTCCCTGCACGCGGTAGGGGCGCGAGGGGCGGGCGGAGAGCCGGGGCTCGGGTGGGAGAGCTGGGGCGCCGGGGCACGCGGGGCGGGCGGGCGGCGGGGAGGACGGGGCGCGGGTGTGGCGGGGCCTGCGACCTGCGGGAGGGAGGACCGAACCTGCGACCTGCGGGAGGGAGGATCGAGCCCGCGACCTGTGGGAGGGAGGACGGAGCAGGGCCTACGACCTGCGGGCTGGGAGGATGGAGCCGAGCCTGAGACCTGCGGGCTGGGAGGATGGAGCAGGGCCTGAGACCTGCGGGCTGGGAGGATGGAGCGGGCCTGCGACCTGCGTGCCGGGAGGACGGGGCCTGCGACCTGTGGACAGCAAGGATGGAACGGAGCCGGTGGGCAGGGAGGACGGAGCTGAGCTTGCGACCTGCAGGCTGGGAGGACGGAGCCAGCCGCGGGCAGGCCCGTGTGCACTGGGAGGGCCGGGGGCAGAGGGGTCGTGAGACAGGCCGCAGAGGGCGCCTGCCCACCCAGGCTGGGAAAGTCCCGTGGCCCCCTGCCGCCTCCGGCTCCTCACCTTTGGGGTTGCTGGTGACCCCACCTGGCCCCTCTCGGGACCAGCGCAGGTGCCCCTGCCTCCGGAAGGCCCCGCCTCCACCGCAGCAGGTCTTCCCTGACCTAGTGTTTTGTGGACAACCCTCTGCTAGCATTTCCCAGGTTCTGGATTAATCTGTGTTGGGCGGTGCTGGGCAGGAGCGGCCTCAGCCCACGGCGGTTGAGGCCAGGAGTACCAGAGTGGGCGCTGACAGCTGGGAAGAAGCGGAGGCTCATGCCCGGGCCAGCAAGCCAGAGCCTTCGCAGATTAAGTCAAAAAATACTCTCGAGCACCCACCGTGCGCCTAGCCCTGGGAGTGTGGTGTGGGAAGGCCATCTCTGTGCTTCCCGGCCTGCCTCCTGGGTTGCTAGGTGGTGAACAGGGAGGGCCGTGAACTGACTCCCAGAGGAGCTCTAGGAAAACTAGGCCCCTCTCCTCTGCTAAGTGTGCCCTTCAGTTTGTGGAGAGAGGGCTGCAAAAGGCACCTCTTTGGCCCCTCCCTCTCCTGGCCTTGAGCTGTGGCTCTGTCATTCTGGCTCTCTTGTCTTTGCATCAAGTTTTAGCAAACTGTCAGGCTCCAAATTTCATGGAGACCATGGATGAAAACGTGCAATTTAGAGCAGATGCTTCCTCCAGAAAGGATTTGCGGCCTACACAGGAGAGCAGGCGCTCAGGGGCTGGAAAGTGGAGAGGCTTTTGGCAGAGTGGGGATTCCGCTCCCTGGGAAGGGCGGTTCTCCTGCCATAAAGGCAAAGTAGATCTTTAACTGAATCACATGGGGATTTTGTTAAAATGCAGACTCTGACTGTGGAGGTAAGGGGTGGAACCTGAGAATGTGCATTTCCACAAGGTAATGCGATGCTGCTCATCAGGGACCACACTTTGAGTGAAAGGGGTGCAGAAGATTGTTCATACCGGTGCACTGGTTCAGGTGGGCCACAGGTTCACAGAAGCACAACACCATGTACCCCCATCCCCACCTTCCACTGTTATCCCAAACTCAGTGGCTTTAAACACATTTATTCTCTTGTACTTTTTGAAGCCAGAATCAAGAATAAGTCTTACAGAGCTGAAACCAAAGTGTCAGCAGAGCTGGTTCTCTCAGCAGGCTCTGGGGAGGATGCATGCATGTCCTTGCCTTTTCCAGCTTCACAGGCCACCCACAATCCTTGGCTCATGACCCTGGATCACATCACCTTTTCTCCCTCAACTTCCACCATCACATCTCCTTGTTCCCTGTCTGACCTTACTGTGTCCCGATTATAAAGACACCTTGGGATTACAGTGACCCTCCCTGATGATCCAGTATCATCTTCCCAAATCAAAATCCCTAACTTCATCACATCTGCAAAGTCCCTTTTGCCATACAAAGTAACATATTTCATGGGTTCCGGGTATTAGGATTTAGACACTTTGGGGAGCCATTACTCAGCCCTACCACACTGTGTATTTCCAAAGAAAAATTACATTTTCTTACATACTCATATTTCAGTGACCAAAATCAGGATATTTAACCTTGACACACTTCTTATTTTGGGGGGGAGGGGAAGAATGTGAGCCCACCAGGGGGAGGCGCAGAGGAAGAGAGAGAGAATCTTAAGCGGACTCCATGCTCAGCATAGAGCCTGATTGGGGGTGGGGGGGCAGCTCCATCTCACGACCCTGAGATCATGACCTGAGCAGAAATCAGGAGTCAGGTGCTTAACCGACTGAGCCACCCAGATGGCCCAAATGTGATACACTTCTATTATGTAATGCACAATTCACATTCAGTTTCCTCAATAACACTTTATAAAATTCTTTTTTCTGGTTCAGACTCAATCCAGAATCATGTATTCCATGCATTTTTAGGCCTGTTTAGGCTCCTTTGATCTGGAATGGTTCCTCCTCTTTCTTTGTCTTTCACGATCTTGACATTTGTTAAGAGTACAGGCCAGTAGCAAACTGTCTCAACTTGGCTTTGTTCGTTATTTCCTCAATTAGACTCAAGTTTTGCGTTTTGGGCAGGACTCCACAGAAATATATTTCATCCCGCTAAGAAGTGCGTCCCACCAGGAGACACATGGTGTCATTTTGTCCCTTGATTAGTGATGTTTACTTAGATGGCTTGACTGAGGTTATGCAGGTCTCACCACTGTAAAGTTCCTGTATTTCCTCTTGAAATCGATACATAATTTATGGGGAGAAACTTTGAGACTATATGAATATCCTATTCTTTATCAAATATTCATTGATTTTTAGGACTCACTGATGATTCTGGCTTGATGCAGTTATACTATAATGGTCACAGAATGTTGACTTAAAAAAAAAAAACTCCATGATTCTTTCATGTTTATTAGTTGACATTTTACCTTAAGAACTTCCCTTCTTGGGATCCCTGGGTGGCGCAGTGGTTTGGAGCCTGCCTTTGGCCCAGGGCGCGATCCTGGAGACCTGGGATCGAATCCCACGTCGGGCTCCTGGTGCATGGAGCCTGCTTCTCCCTCGGCCTGTGTCTCTGCCTCTCTCTCTCCCTCTCTCTGTGTGACTATCATAAATAAAAAAAAAAAAAGAACTTCCCTTCTCTCCCCTTCTCTCACTCACCTATCTGTTCTTATATCGATTCACAGATTTTAAAATTTTATTCAATTCGTTATAATCCATTATAGTCATTATTTATTTCGATGGTCTAAATTGCCCCTGATTGGACTAGTAGCAGCCCTCTTCCAGCTGGCTCCTGTGTCCTTAAACCATTTATTTTCTAACATGGATGAGATAATGCTCCAGGCTTCTTGGGCCTTCCCTGCCCCAACATTGGAATTCACCATTTCTCTAAGGAGCCCTGATTGCTCTTAAGTGACAAAGGCTATTTCAGATCAAGTTCCCTATGCTCAGCGTGTTCATTGCACTTAAATGTCTTTACTTCTAGGCTTTTGCAATGGAAAAAGCTAGGAAGTATTCTTTTTCTATATGCATATCTATGTATCTTTCCTTCCTTACACTGAAAAACACCTCCAGAAAATGTTAAGACTGGAATCGAACCTTCATTAGTCACTTTATTATTAGCTCTTTTGGACTTAAAATACATAAACTTCAGAAATAGGGAGCTGGTCAGAAACAGGCTGGGTGTTAGTTCATTTTATGTCACAGTCTCCAATGTAATAGCTAATATTTATTAAACACCATGTACCAGGCTAAGTGCTTTACATGTATTTGTTATCTCTTCTAATCCCCACAATTATGAGGCACATATATTTATTATTTTGTTCTACAGATGAGAAAACCAAGGCTCAGAGAGACCAAGCACCAGGATCGGAATTCGGTCCATCTGTTCCTGGAGCGTGTTCAGGCTGCTGCTCTTCACCGCCACCCCTAACCTGTGCTCTAACTCAGGCTACATGGCCTCCAGCTCCTGAAATCTGGCTAATAGTAAACACCAGGGCATCAGCTCAACCTCCTGTAGTTTCTTGCTTGGGCACCCATCTTATCTATGTCACAGATGACTGTAGCTTCCAACCTCAAAATAGCACAGCTTGCTGGGTCCTTAGAGCCCCTCTTGGGACCTCCCACCTGCTCAATTATTTCCTCCCTACTCAAGGGTAGAGATCTGTGGGTAAGTGGAGAACTTAGCCACCCTTAACCACCAATTGATAAATCAAGCTCCTCTCAGTCCTCATGAGCCCCCAGGACCTATTATTATCTGAGAACACAAGATAGCTGGAGAGCTTAAAAAAAAAAAAAAAGTCCATTTGAATCAGTAAGAGTAATTGACAAGTATGTATTTGTTGTTTTTTGGGGGAAGGGTGGCATCCCGAAGTATCTCATATTTATCCTGAAATGAATCCAAATTGCCTAGAATGTGTCTATTTTAAAAATCAGATTTGCTGTATAAAGTAATGTGACTCTGCTATGATGTTTCCCAGGCCCACAAGAATGGAAACTGAGTACCTGAAGAAGTGCTTCGGAAATTGCCTGAGCCGGGCGCTGGTGGATGTGGCGAAGGTTCGGCCCAGTGACCCTATAGAGTACCTGGCTCACTGGCTTTATCATTACAGGAAAATAGCTAAAGTAAAAGAGGAGGTGTGTATATGCACAGAGTTGTCTTGGGGAGGGCTTTCCAGCTTTCTCACAGTCATTTGAAATCCAAAGCAGGATTCCAGGCCTAGCCCAGAAAGGTTCTTAGTTTATTCCGCTTGTGAGATCCCTTCGGCCCAGATGTTCCTGAAGTGCAGGGAGTCTGGGGGTGAGGAAGGAATCTAGCTCAGAGGAGTTGTGGGATTGGTGGGTTTGGAGCCACTAGCCAGCAAAAGCTGGTCACAGGAGCAAACTCGGGAGGCCCACAGGGCCCGGGCCTGTGGTCTGTTTCAGTGAGGGGTGGCCCATTTGTCCAGGCTTCCCAGGGGCTGGCCTGATTCAGCTCTCTCCTCACTCCAGGAGAGCCAAGCGAAGATCCTGCTGCAGGAAGAATATGGTAATAGCCTCAAAGAAACAGAAATGACAGAAATGCTGAAGCAAGAGGAGTGTCAGATTCAACAGAAGAGTGAAAAGTCTCACAAGGTGGGAAGAGGAACCCAGCAGCGGGCAGGTGACACCCCAGTGGTGGGTACTGGGAAATCCAAGGGCCAGCGAGGCCACAGCGCACAGTACACTGAGGCTCTGCACCTTGCTCGTCCTTCTATCTCCTTATGTTTATCTGTAAATCAATTGTATTGATGATCCTGGTGATCGAAAAGAGGAAAGGTTGAAAGGCAAATCCATTTTAGATTTCAGGAACTACTTTAGATGTTACTGGTTTTAAAAAATTGGATTTTTGTAAAAATCTAAGTCATTTGGAAATAATATATTTCCTTACAGGATCTTTGGAACCCTTACTTTTCTTTTCTTTTTTAAGATTTTATTTCTTTATTCAGGAGAGACAGAGAGAGAGAGAGAGAGAGGCAGAGACACAGGCAGAGGGAGAAGCAGGCTCCATGCAAGGAGCCCCATGATGGGGGGTGGGGTGGGGGACGACTGGGTCTTAGGATCCTGGGATCATGCCCTGAGCTGAAGGGAGATGCTCAACCACTGAGCCACCCAGGTGCCCCCTAGGAACCCTTTTCAAAAGTTATTCGGTATTTCAGAAACCAAATATGGTTTTCAGTATATATCATTTTATTTATTATATACTACTTATTTAAGTGTTTCAGTTACTGTCTGCTATTTATTTATCGAGCTGCAGATGCCTTCTCTATGATGCTGTAATCCTGGTGGTAAAGTATTACCTTCTTGTAGTTGGAAACTGCTGTGTGTTCATTATTCTGACAAGCGTATCTTTTATCTCCCATGATTTTTACCACCACCTTCTGAAAAACACCTTGTGCTGATTTTGTGCTTTCTACAAAGTGCATGATACCTGGATAGGGAATTGACTCACAGGGCCTGATATCTGACATCCTTCCAGCTATCACTGTATCCTGTGCATTGAAATCCTCAGTGCCTTTTTGTACACTTCTCTAGCTTTTGCTAGTTTCCAAAGTGACTTTGATGAAGAGACATGAAACTATTTAGCTTATATACACTCACGCCACTATGCTCAGCTCGCCTCATAATTCATAGATTTATTTTTATTTATTTATTTATCCTTTAAATTTTTTTATTTATATATTAATGGAAAACAGATTGAGAGAGGCAGAGACATAGGCAGAGAGAGAAGCAGGATCCCTGCTGGGAGCCCTACGTGGGACTTGATCCTGGGACCACAGTGTCATGCCCTGAGCCAAAGGCTCAACCACTGAGCCACCCGGGCGCCCCCGTAGATTTATTTTTTGAGTCTGGATGTTTGGTAGGTAAATTAAGTCAAAAGAAAGGTAGTTTCATGCTATTGTTTGACACTAGTCTAAAGGAACTCTCCCCAAGGAATAATTCATTCTTTGAATGGTGTCTGGAAGAGAGTAGGGGGAGGTCATGAAGCAGAAGTTGTCATCCCCTTACTGCCCCCTCTAATCCCTTTCTAAGGCCACTGCTTTCCTGTTAACAGAAATACCTCTCTATATAAGGCAGGGAAATACTTCCCAAAACTCCACCCTAGTTTTATGAAGTCTTTATTAAAGAAAACTTTGCTCACATTAATGTTTTGAGTTTTCCCACTGAGTTACACCCAGGAGTTTTACACCCTGTGGCAATATTCCTTTGCAAGATTTAGATGAGTAAAAGGTATGCCTTCTTCTGCCAACTGTGAGACAAAGGCAATTGTCAGGGATGATGGGAGTGAGAGACTGCAGGTTGCCTGGACTAAGCAAATTCTCAGTTTTAAGAAAGAATTTGTGTGCAAATTGATGCCCTTTTGTTAGAAGGAATCAGGGAGGCCCAATAGGGATCTTAACACAAAGCTTACCTGGCCAGGGAGAGCTACTCTTATAGTAAAAATGGAAAGAGGTGGGTAGTGGGCAAAAAAGTGGAAGTCTCTCAAATAAAATGAGATTCTAAGGTCTCATTTCTCCTTGGCTCAAGGCAAATTGCAAACTATTCCTTGCCACTGGACATTTTTCAGATTTTGAGTCACTAGTGCTATTAAATCTGGTCTCAAATAGGCCCAAGATAGGTTGCATAAAATATCAGCAAGCCTGCTGATGGGTTTTTTATGCACATACTCAAAGCTTTGCAAAAGTTCCCTTAATGTCTTAAAACCATCATTGCTTGCATATACCTTAGAAAGTCTTTGAATACCCCAGATTGAACACTACTGGTCCAGTGGGTGTGTCAAAAAGAGCAGTAGAAACAGCCCCGTGTGTGGTAGAGATCATATCCAATTATAGGAATCAAGAAGAGATATTTAGAAGAGGTAGCGTTTGAGTCAGGCCTAAAAAAAAAAGCTAGTGAAAGTCACCCTTGTATTGGTTTCTCCTTCTTAAGCTAAGGCAGTTTTGAGTCAGTAAGCCATAATTGTAAGTTTGAAAACAATCCCTTTGTTTATAAAAAGGTAGCCTTACAAATGTTTTATAAATATATTTTTATGGAGTCAATGCATAGATTTGCGGCACAGACTCACAGCACTTTGAAGTTAGAAGGGTCTTATAGGTCACATGGGCAAATAGTGTCCTCTGTGCAGTGTCCCACAGAGATGCAGGGACAGGCGACCAGGAGAGCTTAAGCTCCATAGACCCCGCCCTCACCAGGGGCTGCAATCACATAGATGCTAGACTATGTGATAGCCTCTCGTAGATCATTGAGACTGAATTTCTTTATTTTATTTTTTTCTCTGTGCTTCAGTTTGGATCATATCTATTGATCTGTCTTCAAGTTTACTGACCTTTTCTCCTGTAATGCCCAATATACTATTTAGAGATTCCGTGAAAATTTTTTTTTTCATTTCAGATGTTATTCTTTTCAATTATAGAATTTCTGTCTGGTTCCTTTATAATTTCCATCTTCTTTGCTTATCTACCCTATGTTTTCACTCATTGTGCCCATTTTTTCTCCTTTACATTTTTGAAAATATTTCTCATAGCCATTTTAAGTCCTTGGCTGCAAGTCCATGGTCTTTGTCATTTTGGGGTTTCTTTCTTTCTTTCTTTCTTTCTTTCTTTCTTTCTTTCTTTCTTTCTTTCTTTCAAGATTTTATTTATTTATTTGGCAGAGAGAGAGAAAGCACAAGCAGGGAGTAGGGGACAGAGAAAGAAGCAGACTCACCCTGAACAGGGAGCCGATCTTGGGGCTCTATCCCAGGACGCTGGGATCATGACCTGAGCCAAAGGCAGATGTTCAATTGGTTGAGCCACCCAGGCATTGGGATCTCTTTTCTTTCTTTCTTTCTTTCTTTCTTTCTTTCTTTCTTTCTTTCTTTCTTTCTTTCTTTCTTTCTTTCTTCTTTCTTTCTTTCTTTCTTTCTTTCTTTCTTTCTTTCTTTCTTTCTTTCTTTCTTAGATTTTATTTATTTATTTGGCAGAGAGAGAGAAAGCACAAGCAGGGAGTAGGGGACAGAGGAAGAAGCAGACTCACCCTGAACAGGGAGCCGATCTTGGGGCTCTATCCCAGGACGCTGGGATCATGACCTGAGCCAAAGGCAGATGTTCAATTGGTTGAGCCACCCAGGCATTGGGATCTCTTTTCTTTCTTTCTTTCTTTCTTTCTTTCTTTCTTTCTTTCTTTCTTTCTTTCTTTCTTTCTTTATTTCTTCTTTCTTTTTTAAGATTTTATTTATTTATTCATGAGAGACACAGAGAGAAGCAGAGACACAGGCAGAGGGAGAAGCAGGCACCATGCAGGGAACCCGATGTAGGACTGGATCCCTGGAACGGGATTACACCCTGAGTCAAACGCAGATGCTCAACCACTGAGCAACCCAGGTGTCCCATTGGGGTCTCTTTCTATTATATGCTTTTTTTCTAGAATATGGTTCGTATGTCTAGTAATTATTACTTGTGTGCTGAACATTGTAGATGATACTCTATAGGGAATCTAGATTATGTTGTTTCCTTTCAATGGTGTTGATTTTTATTCTGGCAGGCAGTAAAATTATTGATGAATCATTTTGATTCTATCTGATTTGTTTTATGCTTTGCTAGAGCAGATGTGTTTCAATTTAGTTATTAGTCTTGGGCATGAAAATGGCAATGTTGTGTTCTTGGCATGCTGAGTGTGTTTTAGTCTCTGCTAATGACTCTTTTGCTTTTTTGTTTTGTTTAGCCACTGATATCTGTAGCTAGTTCCACAAAGAAGACCGCATTCATACAAGAGAACACAAAACCCCTTGAGAAGGATTCCACGAAACAGGACTCTCTGCCAGGTACTTCCAGTATGATTCCAGGAATGCCTCAATAGATTCCTCCTCGAGAGTCATCTGGCCAGACTGACTGTAATGTCAAAACTCTGCAAGAAATAAATTACTAGGCTTTTCAGCATGAAATTGCTCCCCAAATGTATCCTGGCTCCAAATTTCTTTCTTAAGTTATCAAAAAGTGGATGATTCTCACGATGCTTCTCCCAAAGCTGCAAACTGAGAAAATGGCCAGATAGGCGCTGAAGATGGTAACTATGTGGATTAAACCAAGATTGGAGGGCTGTGGAAGGAGGTGTCATGCCAGGACTCTCCAGCCGAAGGTCTGTTCTAGTAGCTGTGAAAACACTTGAATCATGTAAACATTTGAACTACTGATAGGATAAAATAAACTCATGAGGATTTTAAATAAGTAACCAAAAGACTTTTTCCTCTTTGATTTTTTTTTTTTTTTTTGAGATGGTTAAAACCCATCCATCTCATGTGTTCATGTCTTGACTTTAGGTGAACTTGCCAGTCAGGCCTAGAGTGCTTACACATGTCCTAGAGTATCCCTGTGTTACTGACAATAGGTATTTTAATACAGCTCCAATGACAGTAAAGCTCAAAGAGTGTTGTGGCCACACACCAAGAGGGTATGACATGGTTATTACTTCCATGATGAGGCTTTTGGGGAAGAAGAGGATGGGCTTCCCAAGCTGGCTTGAAAATGGCCTGAGGTAGCGAGGAAAGGAGACTGGTTTGGGGTTTGCACAGGTGTCAGGAGTGGGCCCAGGTAGGAGAGTTCTTATCCTTGGGGAGAAGCTTATCTTGTTTGGAACTCCCACTGTGCCAAAATCAGAGCACCTGAGTTTATCAGCTTGCCCAGAGGCGGGGAAGAGGGAGCAGTGAAGTCAAAAGTTGTCAGCAGTCAGACACCAAAAGAATGGAGTTGGACTTTTTCACAGAGGCCAAACCTGGGAAACGCTGAGTGGCCTGGACCCACTCAGTCTTTGGGTTAAGTGCTCTGGGCGGGTGCTGAGGTCCTTACTTCTAATTTGCACCTGGTGGGTGGGCAGGCAGCCACACTTTCCAGAGTAGCTGGAAAAAGCCAAAGGATCCAAAAACCCACACATGGGAGCAAAGAGAGCTTTCTAGAGGACCCACAGGCATCTTGGGTGGATGGGGTGGTATCTGCAGCATCCCCAGCAAGAAGGTGTAGTCTGGAAAGCTGATCTTCTACTTGGGGGCAGGCTTCTCTTGGACATCACAATCTGTGTGGGGTAAGTTGTAACTTTTGTCCACTTTAAAGGATTCCATACTTTTGCCTTTGATCATTCTTTGGCCCTAGTGTTTGATTATACCACTGGGTGGTGAAAATGTAAGCAATCTCTACTAATGTTTTGTTGCACTCTTGCCAAGTTTGCCTTTTCTGTTGTTATTTTGTTTCTGAAAAGTTGTTAGAATTCACTTTCATGGGCACAAATCTTAGCAGGCCTCTGCTGACCTACCTATGGATTGCTAAATCAAAAGGTATTTGCAGGGATCCCTGGGTGGCGCAGCGGTTTGGCGCCTGCCTTTGGCCCAGGGCGCGATCCTGGAGACCCGGGATCGAATCCCACGTCGGGCTCCCGGCGCATGGAGCCTGCTTCTCCCTCTGCCTGTGTCTCTGCCTCTCTCTCTCTCTCTCTCTCTCTCTCTCTCTCTCTCTCTGTGACTATCAGAAAAAAAGATAAAAAAAAAATTCAAAATTTAAAAAAAACAAAAAAAAAACAAAAGGTATTTGCATCTTGGGGACAAATGAACGGACATTTCATTGAAGAGTATATACATATGACAAATAAGTCCATGAAAATATGTTCAACTCCATTAACCATTATGGAAATGCAAATTAAAATCACCATGGTGCGTCACTACACACTGGTCAGGATAGCTAGAGTTAAAAAATAGTGACAACAGGGGCTCCTGGGTGGCTCAGTCAGTTAAGCATCTGACTCTTGATTTCAGCTCAGGTCAGGACCTCAGGGTTGTGAGATCGAGCCCCGTGTTGGGCTCTGTGCTGAGTGTGGAGCCTGTTTGAGATTCTCTCTCTTCCTCTCTCCTTCTGTACCCCACTCCCTTTCTCCCTCCCCAAAAAAGTTTAATTTTTAAAAAGTTGATAAAATTCTCACCTTATGTACACTCTGTTTTCAAACACCCTCAGTTATCTCACTAATATACTGGAGTTTTCATTTTAAAAAGAAAATTTTATCTTTTATCTTTAATTGCAATCAGTGTTGCCCCATTGCCACCTGGAAAGCTAGACTAATGTATACTACCATTCAAAAATGGCATTTCTTTTTTTTTTTAAGTTTGTTTGTTTATTTATTTATTTATTTATTTGAGAGAATGAGAACATGAATAGTGAGGTGGGGCAGAGGGAGAGGCAGAAGCAGACTCCCCACCAAGAGGGGAACCCAACGTGGGGCTCGATCCCAGGACCCTGAGATCATGGCCTGAGCTGTAGGCAGACGCTTAACCGACCAAGCCACCCAGGCGCCCCCTAAAGTGACCACTTCTTGATCCTCTTGCTGTACTGAGCTAGTTATTTTACTTTTATTTTCTGCTAATTTAATATGTGGAAAATAGTATAGTTCTTTATACATATTCCAGATACTGGACACCAATCAGATACATGTTTTTCAAATACATACTATCAATATTCCCTTTTGACGAATGAAAGATCTGAAGCACAAAAGACGGCAGTGAGCCTATTTGAGCCCACGTGGCTGGAAGCGGGAGAGCCAGTGTTCCAACTCCCAACACTTCAGTTCTAGAGTGAGGCCTCAAGGGCCTGACTTCCCTCATGGGCACAGCCCTCGGAGGAGCAGCCTCGGAAATCACCTGGTTAGGGCCACGGGCTCACGGCCTGGCTCATCCCTCTTCCAGCAGAGAAGGCTCTGGTCCACGGCTCAGGACACACTGGGTCATGACGGGTGACCAGAGGCTCATAGGCTCTACCAAGAGCTAGGTTTGCCCAGGGACTGAGTGGCAAAGCAACTCCCCTCTCCCCAGGGCTGTGGCTGGAGGTCACTGCCAATGCCCGGGCTGCCCCTTCCCATGGACGCGTCCTCTAGAGGAAGTGCGAGGCCTTCATGCAGTGTGTAGTCTTTCTCGCCTCTCTCCTAAGGTAACATTACATATCCTGCCTCTGACCCAGCTGGCTTTGCTTTCAGTGAGCAACTAAAGACGACCCTGAGGATGGACAACCATGTTTTCCTCACTAGCTCTCATGGTTGGCAGCTCTCTTCACAGGCCTCCCCCCCGACGGGCAGCTGCGATGGGCAGGAGTTTCCATGCTGAGTCCAGGGGAGATGTCCACCGACCACAGCGAGTCTAGTGCAGGGGGAGACAGTGCAAGACAACAGGTGAAAGACACCGCGTGGAGCACTTCCCCGGGAGGAGGGCATGTGCAAAGGCTCGGAGGCAGGAGGAGAACTCACTAGGGCATCCATGGGGTGCCCGGGTTGGAGCTGCCTGAGAGGCTCAGGGTGGAGGGGAAGAGTGGGATCTGGGAGAGGCTGGGGGGTGGGGAGCACTCCACAGAGAGTGGGAAGGAGAAGTCCAGAACGGTTCAGGGAGAAAGGAAGGGGCTGCATCAATTTGCTCCAAAATAATGGCTGATTTTGAAGTGACTTTAATATCAGGACCGTTCCCAAAGGGCAAAGGTTCAAGATGGAATGCTTTCCTCCCAAAGGACATGTGTCAGTCAGACTTTCTATACTGTTTTTTTTTTTTTAAGTTTTTCTTTTAATCCTAGTGTAGTTAACATATCATGTGGTCTTAGTTTCAGGTCCATACTAGAGTCCTTCAACACCTCCATGCATCAGCCGGGCTCATCGACAAGGGCACCGCTTAATCCCCATCACCTACTACCCGCCCCCCCCACCTCCCCTCGGTCACCATCAGTTTGTTCTCTAGAGTTAAGAGCCTGTTTCTTGGTTTGTGTGTGTGTGTGTGTCTCTCTCTCTTTTCCCCCCTTGACTCATTTATTTGTTTCGTCAATTCCACATACAGGGGCACCTGGGTGGCACCTGGGATGGAGTCAGGCCTCCTGCTTATAATCTCTCTCTCTCTCTCAAATAAATAAATAAAATCTTAAAGAAAGAAAGAAAGAAAGAAAGAAAGAAAGAAAGAAAGAAAGAAAGAAAGAAAGAAAAGAAAAGAAAAGAAACATACAGTTTAAGAAGCATGGTCTTTGTTTTCAAGACAACTATCTGACTCATGTTGGATATTTAATATGTACCGGGCACTATGCTAAGTGCTTAATTACATTACCTCATTCAGCTCTCTGAGCTCCCCGAGATGGGCACTCTAATAATCCCCGCGTTACAGCTCAGGAAACAACTGAGGCTGAGAGAGGAATGGTTGGCCCAAGGTCAGACAGCCGGGAGGTGGCATCCAGGTCTGCCTGTCTGGAGCTCACGCACTTGACTGCCAGGCTGGGTTGCCTCCCACTTACTGAGAGAGGAAGTCTAATTCCCCTGTCCATGGACATTTTGCTCCAAGTCAATTATTGTCTTCTTCTTACCTTTTAGATGAAATTAAATCTTCAAAGAGCTTTCAAATGATCATTGTTATCCAGAAGCATTTACGCTCACTTATGCATATTTTATTGTCTTGATTATCAGCCAAAATTAACCGATGCTCTAAGCATTTGCAACCCCAAACAGGATACTTCAAAATTTCATCTTAGGTCCTTTCGGGATGCTGTTATAGCCGTGAAAGTCATAAAGTCCACCAGCTAAAGTTTTTCCCAGTGACACAATAATGTCTTCCAGTGAAAATGTTCTTTTGAGTAAAAAGTACTGATTGATATCATTCTTATATTTCTGTATAGATTGTAAATATTTTTCAAATGGAATAATATCTTATAGGGAAAGAAATACCCCTTTAAAAATGTTTGGAGGGCAGCCCGGGTGGCTCAGCGGGTTGGCACCGCCTTCGGCCCAGGGCATGATCCTGGAGACTCAGGATCGAGTCCCACGTCGGGCTCCCTGCATGGAGCCTTCTTCTCCCTCTGCCTGTGTCTCTGCCTCTTTCTCTCTCTCTCTCTGTCTCTCATGAATAAATAAAAAATCTTAAAAAAAATGTTTGGAAAGAGGATAAGAAGGATGACCTTTGGGGAACAAATACAAAAGCTATGATCTCACAACCAGATTCATTAAGAATTTGAAAATGAAATAGCTTGTTTTAACCAAGAATGTGGCTTTAAGAGGATACTTGTCAATAAAGAAAAACCGGTGAGTGATTTGCACGGCAGGATTAAAATTTATGATTTGTGTGAAGATGCTTGGGATCCCTGGGTGGCTCGGTGGTTTAGCACCTGCCTTCAGCCCAGGGCATGATCCTGGAGACCTGGGATCGAG